TCCTTAGCAGCTTCTGACAACGTCATATACTCTACCTCAGTAGTAGACAATGTCACCGTCGACTGCAAAGTTTCCTTCCAACTCACTACAGAACTCCCAAGAGTGAATACATAACCAATCATCGGTCTCCTCGTGTCAACATCTCCAGCATAGTCCGAGTCAAAATACCCAGACACCAAGCACTCTGTATCACTTCCGAAGCTAATCCCCACATCAGGTGTAGCCTTAAGGTACCGGAAGATCCTCTTCATAGCCTGCCAATGCTCCTTCCCAGGTTGTATCATGAACCTGCTGACAACACTAACATCATGTGCAAGATCAGGTCTTGTGCATACCATAGCGTACATCAAGCTACCTACTGCACTAGCATATGGGACTCTCGACATGTACTCCTTCTCAGCCTCTGACTGCGGTGCATAAGCTGAGGATAGATGAACATTCGAAGAACTAGGAGTATTTAAAGACTTTGCTGAAGACATGCCAAACCTCGACAGTATCTTCTGGATGTAGCTCTTCTGTGACAAGAAAAACTTATTCTTCGACATGTCCCTGTAAATCTCCATACCCAAGATCTTCTGAGCAGCTCCTAAATCCTTCATCTCAAACTCAGCACTGAGAAGCCCCTTTAACTTCTGGATATCAGACTTCGACATCGCAGCTATGAGCATATCATCCACATACAGAACTAGATATATCATCGAACCATCCTCTGCCTTGCTGTGATACACACAACAATCATATGGACTTCTGCTGTAGCGCAGCTCAAGCATGTAACTGTCAAATCTCTTGTATCACTGAGGAATTTTACAATGCTTTAAAGCGTTGGTGCTTTAGTTTTTGCCTTTATGGTACAACTTGAAGTTGTACCTTTAACGTTATAGTACAACTTTAGGTTGTACCTATACTTTTTTGTAAAATCCCTTTATGGTACAAACTAAATTTAAGTTATTGTACAATTTGAAGAGTTGAAGTTGTACCACAACATAAAGATCAAATTCCATTATGGTACAACTCTAACTTGTACCTTTAACGTTGTGGTACAACTTAAAGTTGTACTTTAAAGCATAGTAGAAAGGCTCTGTATCACTGCCTCGGAGATTACTTAAGTCCATACAAGGACTTTTTCAGCTTACAAGCATAGTCTTCCTTTCCTGGAACCTGGAATCCTTCTGGCTGAGTCATATAAATTTCTTCCTATAACTCTCCATGTAGGAAAGCTGTCTTCACGTCTAGCTACTTGAGCTCCAAGTCATAATGCGCCACTATAGCTAGTAGCATCCTGATCGAAGTATGTCTGACCACTGGTGAGAAAATCTCATTGTTATCAACTCCTTCCCTCTGCAAGAAGCCTCGTGAAACCACCCAAACTTTAATGCCCTCTTCATAACCGATATCTTCCTTCTTCTTGTAGATCCACTTGTTTGTCACAATCTTCCTTCCCTGTGGTCGTTTGACTAGCTCCCAAGTCTGATTCCTGTCATGGGATTCCATCTCATCTCCCATTGCGGCAAACCACTTATCTGCTTCGCCACCCGAAACGGCTTTTCTATAGGACTGTGCCTCACCTGCATCCACTTCTTCAGGAACCTGAAATGAATACGCCACCATGTCCTCGAAACCGTGCCTCTCTGGAGGTACTCCTGCAGTCGCTCTCTTTAGTCTACCGGAAGCTATAGACTGTTGAGCTCCTGCACTGGACGTTGAAGTTTCTGGTTCTGTAGAAACATCCTCATGTTGATCTTCTCCACCTTGGTGCTCAAACTCACTCTCATTGAGAGTTTGCAGCTCCACCTGCTTATCAACATTCCTGCTACCTTCGACAACGGTAACCTTCAACATGGGGTTAAACATAGACTTCTCATAAAATATCACATTTCTATTGAGTATAACTCGATGCTCAGAAGGTGACCAAACTCGAAATCCCTTAACTCCATTTCCATAACCCATAAATACACCCTTCTTTGCCCTTGGGTTCAGTTTACCCTCATCCACATGATAATAAACAGGACACCCAAAAACTTTCTGTGAAGAGTAATCAGCAGACTTACAATACCACACTTCATAAGGAGTCTTACACTCGATACCTGTGTGATGTACACGGTTGATCAAGAAGTACGCCATGTTCACTGCTTCTGCCCATAATCTTCTCTCTAGTCCAGCATTAGACAGCATGCACCATGCTCTCTCCAACAATGTCTGGTTCATCCTCTGCAATGCCATTCTGCTATGGTGTATCTCTAACGGTCCGATGACGGGCAATCCCTTCATCCTTGCAAAATTCATTGAACTCATAATTGCAGAACTCCATCCGTTCGCAACTTCTTGATCTTTTTACCGGTCTGATTCTCCACCAATGTCTTCTACTGCTTGAACTTCGTGAAAGCCTCACTTTTCTGCTTCATCATGAAAATCCAAGTAAATCTCGAATAATCATCAATAATAGACAGAAAATACATGTTGCCTACAATGGATTCAACTCGTGAAGGACCCCAATAGTCGGAGTGGAGGTAATCCAGTATCCCCTTCGTCCGGTGGATACCCTTCTTGAGAAACTTTCTGCGATGTAGCTTCCCAAACACACAATGCTCACAGAATTCCAAATTCTGCACCTTGTGCCCGCAAAGAAGATCCCTCTTCGACAGAACTTGCATCCCTCGTTCACTCATATGCCTCAGTCTCATGTGCCAGAGAGTGGTCATATCTTCATGATGAACCTGAGACGATGCAACTGCAGCAGAACCAGACAACAGAGACCCTTGTAATGCATACAAGGTCCCACGTTTCACGCCCTTCAGCACCTTTCTTGAACCTTTGTAGACATACACAACTCCACATTTTCCTTTGAAGCTGAAACCCTTGTCGTCGAGTAGACTCAAGGAGATTAGGTTCTTTTTCATTCGTGGAACATGTCTGACATCATTCACGGTACAAAACGAACCATCATGTGCCTGAACCTTTATGGACCCGATTCCAACAACCTTGCAAACAGCTCCATTTTCCATGACAACGTTACCACTATCTATCTGCTCGTAGGTTGTGAAGCAATCCTTGTTCAGAGACATATGGTATGAGGCTGCAGTATCCAGAAATCACACATCCCCACTATGTGCCTTCTCATCTACAGCCAAGGCGAGATCGTCTTCAGAACTGTTTTCCACTTCTGTCATGGCAACTGAACCTTTTTTCTTCTGTTGCCCTCTTCTCCAGTGACAATTGTACTTCCAATGCCCCACTTCCTTACAATTGTGACAAGCATCACCTGGTTGTGGACCGAGACCCTTGGAATTCTTGTTTGAATTCCCTTTACCAGATTTCTTCTTTCCCTTTCCACCTGTAACAACCAAACTCGATGCCTCACCACCTGTACCAGATCCGGATGCCTTATGCCTGATCTCTCCCGTATGAAGAGAAGACCTAACATCCTTCAACGACACGCTTTCTTTACCGGCAATAAAAGAATCAACGAAATTCTCATATGAACTCGGCAAAGAAACCAGCAGGATTAGGGTAGCATCCTCGTCATCAACTTGAACATCTATATTACGTAGATCCAGCAAAATAGAGTTAAGTTGTTCGAGATGTTCCCTCAAAGGCGTACCTTCTTGCATCCTCAAGCTGAACAACCGTTGCTTGAGATGCAGCTTGTTGGTAAGAGACTTCGTCATATACAGACTCTCCAGGTTCAACCACAAGCCCGCGGTAGTCTTCTGAGCAGCGACTTCAATGATGATGTCATCAGACAACGATAGTGTAGACACCACTTTTTGTCCGGGTTAAAAACATATTTAATTGAATAAAATTTAGTTTTCACTAAAGGTTGACAATAGCAAACCTTAGACGACTATCCAAATAAAGCGTATTTTGTATTATTTGGGATGATCCACGTTTGGCTTAGCCCATTGAGATTAGCAATAGCAAATCTCGGTTATTAAACAGTTGCTTAGTTTGGTTACCTTTAGGTTAAGGTTTAAATTGTGTACTTAGACTATTTGGCTTTTGATTGGATTGAACTCTGATTTCAAGACAATAAGAGAAAAGTTGAATTAAAAAAAACAAGCAACAATTTTAATAGAACAATTACAATTAAATTTGATTAGAACTATAATCTATAATTACAAAGCCATAATAATTGCATAATAAGATTACATCATATTTAACTACAAGGTTCAACAAAAATTGGGCTCAAGTCAAACCCAAAACCGACAGTCAAAGCTAGTCAACAGAAGTCAACCCAGGCTGGTTCGACCAATGACCTCGAACCGGTCCAACCCAAAATCAGCACCGTAGCATACTTGGGGATTAAGCAGCCTTTTATCTATAAAAAGAAGCCTCTGCAAATGCATAGAGGGGGGAGGACTTCTGCACAAAAATTCAGACTCCCAAAACCAATACCATAAACACTACACACCATGTCTCACCAGAAACGCCACAAAATTGCAAGAAAACTAGGAATGGCAACGGGGCAGGTCCGGGGCGGGTTTCTTGGTACCCAGACCCGCCCTGTGGCAGGTCGGGTCCAGGTCGGGTAATTGATCACGGGTCGCGAGTCGGGGCAGGTCGACCCAATGGGTATGCAATTTATATGAAAACATTAGAAATATTTATTATTTTTATTATAAGACTAAGAAAACAAATAATATTGTGACAATTGTAGTTAAATTATTGGAGAAATTGAGGTTTTTACTAATTTACAACTTTATTATAGCTAAAATATGATGCAATAAAAGGAAAATTCTAAGTAATTTGACTAATATTACATGTAATTTAGACAAGAACGGGTCGAGAATGGGGCGGGTCAGGGCAGGTCGGGTCGATGAGACTACCCATATCCGCCCCGCCCCGCCTACGGGGCGGGTCCGACCCGCCCCAAAACAGGTCAAACAGGTCGGGTAAAACGGGTCAGGTCGAAATTGCCATCCCTAAAGAAAACCCCACCAAATAAACCTCGAAACCCAGGTTTATAAGTTAATGTCCATACGCATCATAAATTTCCAGCCTACCTTTACAATCACCGGCAACCGATTCTCAGAATCAAACTCATCATGAACACCATAACACAGATTTCCAGATTTGAACCCCCTAGAATGATTACAAAAAGCCAGAATTCCCCAATGGTAGAAACCTACCCTAAATTACCCCCAAATCGACATACATCATAACCTAATTCCATAAACACCTCATTTAACACTATTTATTACTACTTATATGCTACATCTTACATATACTGTGCCTTTATTGTAATCCCTTTCTTTCTTAGTCATATTGTCTTTAAAGACAACTCTGTTTACCCATCATTTCTAGCATATAGCACAAATGATTGAAACCGTCAGAACTTCACTCAATAAATGGCTGTAATTAAGCTAGACAAGCAAGACTCGATTTTGTTTCAAGGCCAATCCCTCTAATCTATTCATAATCACACGTCTATACACAAAACTCAGATTTGCAACACCATCTGTCAAAACTGTCAAAATCCCAGAGTTAAACCATTCTCACCACAATTTCCAGATTTAGACCATCCACAAACCATAAATCTGTCCCAGATCCCCCAAATACAACAAAGACTACCGAAACCAAACTATATCCAACGAATTTATATGCCAAATTAACCACTAACACATATAATCCCAGCATGAACTGAAACCACCCTATCGAGCATGAAGCTACAGCTTATAAAACCCCAGGTATACCTAAATAACTCAGAACACCATCATTAACTACACAGAAATTCAGCATCATAAACCACATCTGAGATGCTAGATTCTAGATGGTAATAGCAGAGCAAACCTTGAGGGAACTTGTTTTCCCATTCGGTTTTAATACCCAAATCTGCATATAAGAAAAAGGTTAGTACGCTTCATTGGGCGGATAAAAAGTAAAGGGTAAATAGAAAGTCAGAAAATCCACCTGAAATCTTCGTCGGAAGGCACTCACTTTTCACCGCCGGCGGGAGTTACTTCACCTTTGTCGCCGACAGCTTCTTTCCTTCTTCTTCTCGCACCTGCAACCAAAACCCAGAAAAGGCAGCAGAAAAATATCAGAATCCCAAAGAGAACCTAAATTCAGAATTGAAAAACAAAAACAGAAGGAAAAATGTACCGAGGAAGGTGTTCGGTTGCTGCACTCTTCGTCGGCGGAAGTCGGCGAGGCTCATCATCCTCCTGACAAAAACCCAATACACGAAAGTAAAAGAACCTAGACCAAATTGAACCCCAAACTCGAGTTGCAAGCCAAAAAGTCATCTCTCACCTCGTCTTCGTCTTCACTAGCGTGCGCCAATTGCTGTCACTCTCAACTTCGCCGCCGCATTTTGCTCCCTTTTCTTTCTTTCTCCTCGTCGATGCTAGGAAGGAAGAGAGTCAGAAACCCCAAAAATCCAACGAGACCCAGTAAAATCAGAACAAAGAATCAAAAATCCCAATCCAAATAGCACGCATGCACCGAAATGCTTACCGATCTATCATTCCTTCTCCATCATCGCCATAATTGAGAATGAGTAGAGGAGCCCATCGAGTGAGAGGAGGGGAAGAAGAAAGGTTGTTTTTGTTTCTTTCTTTTCTTTGGTTGATCGTTGATTTTCAGAGGGAGGAAGAAAAGCAGGGAGATGGGGAGATTGAGTTGTGAGCGGCAGAAGTGAAAAGGAGACTAGGAGAGTGCTAGGTTCCTTTAGATCAGCCTGACTTTTAAGAGACCAAATACCCCTCGTTTGTTCTAAAAAATTACCCGCTGCCACTCATCTCCCCTGAAAGACGAGACACAAAAAATGCTCCAGCAGCAGCTCGAACCCACAACCTTCAAGCCCAAAGCGTCACCTCTTAACTTCTTAACCTGTTAGGCTACAGCCTGCTAATTGTGATATTGGTTCTGATACTTTATTTCATTTGTAAATAAGCATATTACGAAAAATCCAAATCAACTTAACATGTTAATTTTTTTTAGTCTGAATTAATTAGGTTACTCCAAACATCTCTCAATATTAAAACCTTTTGAATTATTATCCTTGTTTTAGCGACATTATTCATACACATGTATGTTTTTCGAATAAATTCACATAATAAGAAATCATGGTCAATAGATCATGATAGTCGTTATGATGAATCTTCTCTCAAAATCATCAATTCTTCAATTACTATAATGCAATATCAAAATACGTTGCCTCTTGAAAGCTCAATATTCTCCTAATCACATTTCAATAGAAATGTGTTTAGGTTCCTTTTTTCAAAACCACTCAACTTAAACGAACTACGTGGACTTTGATCCCGATTAATTCGGGTACGTAGGCAACCAATAGGTTCGAGTCCAACCAATCTAAAAACAATTTTTATGTCAATAGACGTGAAATTTTGAAGTAACTACAATAATTCAAAATTGACGCTAATCATATCGTCCGATTGGACTTTTAATAAATACACTCAAAATAACCTAAAGTAATTAAATGTGACAATTAAATACACAAACAAGCCAAATAAACTGCGACTAATAACACACCCAATCTTTAAAAATTGTCGATTTATGTAGTACCCGTTATGGGGCGTTGTGGGGGTGTGAATACACTTCCCCGCACGTAACCGTACTCCCGAACCTAGAACAATCTAAAAGTGCATACCAGAATTCTGGTTTTAAAAAAAATTAAAACCGGAAAAGGGTGTTCGACCCATCCCAAAACACGGTCGATGGCGACTCCGAGCGTGTCGCGTCGTATCCCCCAATTTCGGAGGGGCGGTTGCGACAGTGGCGACTCCGCTGGGGACAATTCGAGAGTCGGGCTACAACATTTAAATTGATAAGTTTTTCTTATTTTCTTCAGTATCGTGGGTGTTTATTATCTTATTTGTGCAACTACCGTATTGCTTATTAAATTATTTGCATCATACATAAAAGCTCTATGCCCGAGCTCTACCTTTAGAAAACACGAAAGGATTACCGTGAGGCCTACAATAGTAGGTTGGCACGCGAAACTTTCTAACCAAGTTGAACTCAAATCCGAGGTTGATTTGAGGTATCCGACTAAGCTTGAAAGAGCAATAGTAGGGTACAACTTGGGAATAAATCCCTAGAACTCATTACCCAGCATATAGTCAGTCTAGAAGCCACCTTAAACTATTCAAAACTTATCCTGAGGCCTATCTTAAACGTCGTTGTTAAACCTCATAAAACCCTAAGTTGGCCTAAATAGGATGATGTGTTAATGATTCATGTTTGTTTATGATATAATGAATTATGCTTCATCGATTATGCATGAATGATGTGGTTAGATGTTATGCAAAAGTTTACAAAAATCATGACATTAGCATTTTTCCGTTCATTCTCCATTCGTTCACTCTACAATCAATCAAGAAGGTAATTTTACCAGCATTCATGCATCCACACAAAAAAAAATCTTGCATATGCATATTCACACCATTTCGCATGATTATCATATATTCATCTCATTTACCAACATGGCGGATTTAACCATAATAAATCAAGAATTCTCTAAAATTGTTCATCCACGAGGATAAAGTCAAATCCTATATACCATATCCAAGGTTGTGCTCATTCTAGAAGAAATTCGATGACAGCAAAAGAAGTAAACGGTACCAGATCACAAGGAATCTATCAGAAATTTCGAAGAAGTTATTCGTTCAAACATCAATAATCCACTACCTAGCTATGGAGATTAGTAGGCATACTACTAGAGAAGGCTTAATTCGAGCATCATGTAGCCTCGCACAATCAAACAAATGTCTAGATACTCTACCATATTGAAGATGTGTACCAACCTTTATATCATAATAAAGAATGATGTGTAACTCGCATTTCCACCTATTTGGAACATTGTGTGCCTACTACCAATCTTGATCTAAGAATTTGCATCAATGATTCTTTTTCAAATATGACGAATATATCTTCCATATCTTTTAAAATCTACCTTTCTTCTGTGGAAATGGGAACCTAAAAACGTATTTCATGTTTTCAAGTTGAGCCATGAGATTTTCATATTAAGCAACCATAAGCACCCCACTGGTGCTGAGTGTTTATAAACACCGTACTGGTGTCCAGGATTTGATCCACCCACTTATGTTGAGAGTAAACACATTTTGCTAGAGTTGAGAGAGAAACACCCCACTGGTGTCCACAAATTATGTGAGCTAAATAGTCAAATGGTGCAACGAGGATATGACACTAGGCTACTTGTAGAATCTTGTCGCTATCCATAACCGATATAGCACGTGTATTTCGAAGTATGGCCTACAAGAAGCGTGATGCCGATATTATAATAGCCAAGTTTTGACGAAACCCTCATCGAGGAACGCATAGAATCCACATCATCTGTTGAGGCTAAAGAGAAAAATGTCTCATTAGCATCCAATGTCTACACGCATAGATCTAACCCGGGAGGAGGCATTCAAACTGACATCATGAGTATCACTTCTTCAAGAAAGGGATAGCTAGTAGCCCATACGACAAGAAAATCACTCACGTTGACAAATTTCTAACATTTTGATGCTCAAGTCAAAATGACATCATGTATGGGGCATAACAACGTTAAGTAAGTCCCACAAAAATTAAAAGGAAAAAAGAAGCCAAAATGTCAAGAAAAATCAAAACAAAGAAAACAAAAAAGAAAAATTGTGGGACTTACACATTAGATGCCCATACACGAGCGCTTGAAGCTACAATCACTCAAACTCGTCCCAACTGACTGGCTACCTTTTCGAAGAGGCAAAAAAGGCGATCCCAAGTTTAATGTCGATATGGTCACAAGGGTTCAATATTGGACAAATATCTCAATCAAGATACACTCAAGCGGATCTAGCCATCAAGTTAACAAGCTTTCCAGATCAAAGAATGCTTGTCTTTCAAGCATGAGGAAATAACGCAAAGAACCCCTAATGAGAAGGGTTCATAAGATGAGAATATCAACATACGCTTAAATTACATCCCCGTGATGATCCCTATTATCCAATTCTTTCTAGTAAAAGAAGAATCCCCATGATAATACGATTTGCCAATCATAACCGCCTCATAAAGGTCTTCAACATTCATCATTCCAAGAGCCAATAAGCAGTTGAAGTCTACATCACACAAACACCTCCTTTATCCATGAACCAGCTTCATACTTTGGGGGCAAGTCAGAATCCCTCAGTAGGAAACTTAGACAATGAAGGATGTGAGACTCATTTATCCATCATTCATTTGAGAAAATTCAGCTTCCCAAAACATAAATGACTCTGACGTACAAGAGTCACTTTCCAGAAAAGTTCCAGAACTCTCATGACGAGACCATACAGAGATTACATGGAATCTCCATGATCATCAACTTATACCTCCGACAGATTTGTCCATCAACTTGGCGACAAGAATCTTGATAGTAGCCAAAGTGTCGTATACTCGAAGCACCCATAGGAATGAGTGTGAGCGAAATTGAGCATGAGAATGAAAGTGAGGGCTTGTGAATATTCTCATGGCTTGACTTCCGAAAAGAACGAATTTTTAAACAATGTGACAATAACCACACAAGAAATCATTTTTCTCATATTGCACACAATTCCCCCAGCAAGGCTTTGATTTCAAAAGTCAAGTTCCCATTATATCCTCTTAATTTTTTTTTTCAAACATTGTTTGCATTCATCTTAAGTCAAGATTGGTAAAAGTCACACTTTGTTCCGAAGAATGGAAGGCGAATAACACATTCTCGGGGGCAAGATAGTGCCACTCGGAAAGAAAGAAGAAAGTGGTTCTCCAAATCCACCAAATCATATGAGTAAATGGGAAATCTCATAGATCTTGAATCATTTTTGTTCAAGATACCCTACCAATCAATCAAACTATCCGTCAAGAAAGTATTTTTGTACCTCATACCTCCCGATGAGGTCAATCAAGCATGTCTAGAAAACCGACATCAACAAGACAATACCCAGAGATAACAAATTTCTCTTATCCAAGCACGACATGCTCACATAGCAAGAAGATCAAGCAAACTAAATGAGCACATTATCCTGTGACCAGCATGCTACAAAATCCTCCCATAGAAACAACCTACCAGGCACATCCCATGAAAAGATCATATGGCTAATACATCAGCCACCCAAGAATCAATGTCAAGGTGGTACAAAATCCTCTAACAGAAAAAACCTACCAAGCACATCCCATGAAAAGATCATATGGCTAATACATCAGCTACCCAAGAATCAATGTCCAAGGTGGAGAAAACAGAAGACCAACCTTCCATCAATCCACATAAGCGACATACCTTGTGCTCGCTGAGTATATAAAAGAGGATAAACTAGATGGCAAGCCCAGTACCTCGAGATAGTGACACACACCGACGAAATAAAGTACCCATGTCGGCAGTATGCTACCCCATCGCGAGCACAACCAAGGATCAATTTTACTAAAAGGGAATGACATGTTTTCCTTGTGGATGATCGATTTAAGAGAATCCATGAAAAAAAACATCAAGACCATGATGAGGGATTATACTCTTTCTTTTGCATACCATCGAGACATCATCCTATAACCCATCATACAACCTTTTTCAAAAGCACTTCACACGCATCGAATGGCATCATTCTCGATGCACTTCAAACTAATCATATTGCATCATCTATAAAAAAATTCATAGCCAAATTAAATATCATTCATTCTCAAAATTCATTTAAAGTAGATGTACCCTTCCAACATATCTCATCACAATATTTCATCATATCATATCACAAAATACCTCGCATTTGCACATATGGGGAAGTCAAAATTCAAATCTTTACCAATATCAAGTTTGTCACATACCTTAGATCTACCTAAGACCACCAATTGCTTGTTTCAACCACTCATGTCAATCACAAAAAATCTATACCACTCGTGATCAAGTTAAACTTTCACATATCCTCGTGAATTTTACCGCCATGATACACGTGATCAAACAGGCTATACCGCCACGAATAAAAATCCAAAATCAGGCTCTATCGCCACAAAATCTCAAATCTGGCTATATCGCCACGGGAACAAGATAACCTCAAATCAGGCTATACCGCTACGGGAACAAGTTAAAAATAGTGAAGGCTATACCGCCATGCAGAACCCAAATCAGGCTATACCGCCATCCAAAAAAATCAAAAACAGGCTATACCGCCATACAAAAAAAATAACGCAGGCTATACTGCCAAACAAAAATCAAAGTAGGCTATACCGCCATACAAAAAGAATCTAAATCAGGCTATACCGCTACCGGATCATTAAAAAAACAAAACCAGGCTATATCGCCACAAGACTAAAAACAAGTCAAGCTATACCGCCATTGGACCAAAAACCCAAATCAGGTTATACTGCCATGGAAAACACTCCTAAAACGGGCTATACCGCCATGAAACCAGAAAACTCTAGTCAGGCTATACCGCCACGATACCTAAATACCAACTCAGGCCCTACCGCCAAGATACCTAAATACCAACTCAGGCCCTACCGCCAATATTCTTAATTACCAACTCAGGCCCTACGTCCAAATAACCTAAATACACTAACGCAGGGGCTATCGCCAAGACACCTAAAAACACTAACACAGGCGCTATCGCCAAAAAACCCAAAAGAACTAACACAGACCATACCGCCATGAAGAATAAAATAAACAAGTCATACAACTGCATAAATTTACCTTACCTCACTTTAACTTACCAAAAGGGAATGGTCTAGACGCCCCAACCTTCTAACTATCGCAATATTAACCGCCCAAAAATGGTGTGCAATGATAACTTTGTATACCTCTCAAATATCAAGAGATATACAAAGGGGGGCAACTGTAGACACCACTTTTTGTCCGGGTTAAAAACATATTTAATTGAATAAAATTTAGTTTTCACTAAAGGTTGACAATAGCAAACCTTAGACGACTATCCAAATAAAGCGTATTTTGTATTATTTGGGATGATCCACGTTTGGCTTAGCCCATTGAGATTAGCAATAGCAAATCTCGGTTATTAAACAGTTGCTTAGTTTGGTTACCTTTAGGTTAAGGTTTAAATTGTGTACTTAGACTATTTGGCTTTTGATTGGATTGAACTCTGATTTCAAGACAATAAGAGAAAAGTTGAATTAAAAAAAACAAGCAACAATTTTAATAGAACAATTACAATTAAATTTGATTAGAACTATAATCTATAATTACAAAGCCATAATAATTGCATAATAAGATTACATCATATTTAACTATAAGGTTCAACAAAAATTGGGCTCAAGTCAAACCCAAAACCGACAGTCAAAGCTAGTCAACAGAAGTCAACCCAGGCTGGTTCGACCAATGACCTCGAACCGGTCCAACCCAAAATCAGCACCGTAGCATACTTGGGGATTAAGCAGCCTTTTATCTATAAAAAGAAGCCTCTGCAAATGCATAGAGGGGGGAGGACTTCTGCTACTGCCTCCGAAGTCCGAACTCTTTCCTTCTTCTTGATCTTATCTTCCCCAGATATTTCCTTCCCTCTCTGAAAACAAAAGACCCCATACTTCTTTTCCCTTTTCTTCTTCGCTGACACCTTCCGTCTTCCCTCCTGAACACATAACATAAAAAAAAACAATACAAACAATAGACTCACTTCTTTCCACCTTAACAGATGACACCAAGTGATAAAACCATCCTCCTTTCTTTTCAATACACAACACACACATAGATAACCGAAACTCCTCCACATATTTCCTTCTTAAAACCACATAAAACCCACAACAAAGACTAAAGCAAAACTAAAGAAAAGACAACAAGAAAACCAATACAAAGGGAAGCAACAAATGAGAAGCAAAAGCACAAGCTAGAACTCAGCAGAAAAGGAGGCAGAATCATCCCACAAGCCACGGCAAAAAGGTTGGTATTATCCATCTCAATTATCGTTAGCATTCAATCATCGTAAATTCTTCTCTTACCTTTCTCTAACTAATTGGTTTTAAAAAGAAAACCAAACAACCAAAATTCAGACTCCCAAAACCAATACCATAAACACTACACACCATGTCTCACCAGAAACGCCACAAAATTGCAAGAAAACCCCACCAAATAAACCTCGAAACCCAGGTTTATAAGTTAATGTCCATACGCATCATAAATTTCCAGCCTACCTTTACAATCACCGGCAACCGATTCTCAGAATCAAACTCATCATGAACACCATAACACAGATTTCCAGATTTGAACCCCCTAGAATGATTACAAAAAGCCAGAATTCCCCAATGGTAGAAACCTACCCTAAATTACCCCCAAATCGACATACATCATAACCTAATTCCATAAACACCTCATTTAACACTATTTATTACTACTTATATGCTACATCTTACATATACTGTGCCTTTATTGTAATCCCTTTCTTTCTTAGTCATATTGTCTTTAAAGACAACTCTGTTTACCCATCATTTCTAGCATATAGCACAAATGATTGAAACCGTCAGAACTTCACTCAATAAAAGGCTGTAATTAAGCTAGACAAGCAAGACTCGATTTTGTTTCAAGGCCAATCCCTCTAATTAATTCATAATCACACGTCTATACACAAAACTCAGATTTGCAACACCATCTGTCAAAACTGTCAAAATCCCAGAGTTAAACCATTCTCACCACAATTTCCAGATTTAGACCATCCACAAACCATAAATCTGTCCCAGATCCCCCAAATACAACAAAGACTACCGAAACCAAACTATATCCAACGAATTTATATGCCAAATTAACCACTAACACATATAATCCCAGCATGAACTGAAACCACCCTATCGAGCATGAAGCTACAGCTTATAAAACCCCAGGGATACCTAAATAACTCAGAACACCATCATTAACTACACAGAAATTCAGCATCATAAACCACATCTGAGATGCTAGATTCTAGATGGTAATAGCAGAGCAAACCTTGAGGGAACTTGTTTTCCCATTCGGTTTTAATACCCAAATCTGCATATAAGAAAAAGGTTAGTACGCTTCATTGGGCGGATAAAAAGTAAAGGGTAAATAGAAAGTCAGAAAATCCACCTGAAATCTTCGTCGGAAGGCACTCACTTTTCACCGCCGGCGGGAGTTACTTCACCTTTGTCGCCGACAGCTTCTTTCCTTCTTCTTCTCGCACCTGCAACCAAAACCCAGAAAAGGCAGCAGAAAAATATCAGAATCCCAAAGAGAACCTAAATTCAGAATTGAAAAACAAAAACAGAAGGAAAAATGTACCGAGGAAGGTGTTCGGTTGCTGCACTCTTCGTCGGCGGAAGTCGGCGAGGCTCATCATCCCCCTGACAAAAACCCAATACACGAAAGAAAAAGAACCTAGACCAAATTGAACCCCAAACTCGAGTTGCAAGCCAAAAAGTCATCTCTCACCTCGTCTTCGTCTTCACTAGCGTGCGCCAATTGCTGTCACTCTCAACTTCGCCGCCGCATTTTGCTCCTTTTTCTTTCTTTCTCCTCGTCGATGCTAGGAAGGAAGAGAGTCAGAAACCCCAAAAATCCAACGAGACCCAGTAAAATCAGAACAAAGAATCAAAAATCCCAATCCAAATAGCATGCATGCACCGAAATGCTTACCGATCTATCATTCCTTCTCCATCATCGCCATAATTTAGAATGAGTAGAGGAGCCCATCGAGTGAGAGGAGGGGAAGAAGAAAGGTTGTTTTTGTTTCTTTCTTTTCTTTGGTTGATCGTTGATTTTCAGAGGGAGGAAGAAAAGCAGGGAGATGGGGAGATTGAGTTGTGAGCGGCAGAAGTGAAAAGGAGACTAGGAGAGTGCTAGGGAGCGGTTACGGTGATTACTATTTTGTAGTAATCACCGTGGTTACTAAGGGTAAATTGGGTATGACAAAATAAATTATATTAATTAATTAATTTTAATAAATTACATTTTAGGTAGTTACAAAAATCTATTAATTACAATTCAATCTCTTTTTCTCACTTCCGTAATCTCCAGCCAGATCTCCTTTCCATATTTTTCTCAATCTTTCTGCAAAAGAAAAAACACGAAATCACTACCAATCCATTAGACAATCACTACCATTTTAAAAAACATCAATACCATTGCAGAAAAAGAATCTATACCATTATACGAAAACTACCAATATAAACAATCTATACCATTACAAAAGTCAAATAAATACTAAAACAACCAATATCACTACTACTGTGAAATCAAAACAATACCATTGCATAAATAAATCAATACCAATAAACTAAAACTACCAATACAAACACTTTATACCATTACAAGAGTCAACCAATACCACTAAAAAGCAATACACTTACATGATAATCAATACCAATGCGGAAAAAAGAATACCAATGCGAAACAACACTACCATTACGAAAAAATTACTACCAATGCGGAAAAAACAATACCAATGCGGAAAAAAACACTAACACTACGAAAAAATCACTACCAATGCGAGAAAAAAACACTACCACTGCGGAAAAATCACTACCAATGCGAAAAAATCAGATCTAGGATTTTTATTCATCTTACCTTTTCCAGCCACAGCCGTACCGGATCTTCAACCTCGGGAACACGTCGCCGGTGACGGTGCCGACGCTGGTGAGCATACTGGAGAGGCATCTGAAGGTGAAGGCGAAGAAGAAGGTGGTGGAGATGCCCGGGAGCTTGTTGTTGTTGTTCTCGGCGGCGGGTTTCTTGGAATTGCTGCGGAAGAGATGGGCGATTCCGTTCCACCGGGAGCTGCTGGATTTTTGGAGGCTGCTGTTGCTTTGGGTTGGAGAATTGGAAGAGGTCGATTCGTTTTCTTCTTAATACACTCAATTGTGGGTCTGCTTGTTTGGGTTTTTGAGAATATGGCCGGCGGAGTGAAGCCGACGGGATGGGAGAAGGGAGAAACGGCGGCTAGGTAGATAGGTTGTATTAGGGTTTGAGTATAATATATACAGTAATCAGGTGTGGTATGTTTTTCATTTCCTAAATTACCCTTAGCTAATCTTAATCGTTAATTTAAAAATATAATAAAATAAATATAATGAATGGTATAGATGTTGGTAGCCACCGTGGTTACTCAAAATTGAGTAACCACCCTAACCTATTCCGAGAGTGCTAGGTTCCTTTAGATCAGCCTGACTTTTAAGAGACCAAATACCCCTCGTTTGTTCTAAAAAATTACCCGCTGCCACTCATCTCCCCTTGAAAGACGAGACACAAAAAATGCTCCAGCAGCAGCTCGAACCCACAACCTTCAAGCCCAAAGCGTCACCTCTTAACTTCTTAACCTGTTAGGCTACAGCCTACTAATTGTGATATTGGTTCTGATACTTTATTTCATTTGTAAATAAGCATATTACGAAAAATCCAAATCAACTTAACATGTTAATTTTTTTTAGTCTGAATTAATTAGGTTACTCTAAACATCTCTCAATATTAAAACCTTTTGAATTATTATCCTTGTTTTAGCGACATTATTCATACACATGTATGTTTTTCGAATAAATTCACATAATAAGAAATCATGGTCAATAGATCATGATAGTCGTTATGATGAATCTTCTCTCAAAATCATCAATTCTTCAATTACTATAATGCAATATCAAAATACGTTGCCTCTTGAAAGCTCAATATTCTCCTAATCACATTTCAATAGAAATGTGTTTAGGTTCCTTTTTTCAAAACCACTCAACTTAAACGAACTACGTGGACTTTGATCCCGATTAATTCGGGTACGTAGGCAACCAATAGGTTCGAGTCCAACCAATCTAAAAACAATTTTTATGTCAATAGACGTGAAATTTTGAAGTAACTACAATAATTCAAAATTGACGCTAATCATATCGTCCGATTGGACTTTTAATAAATACACTCAAAATAACCTAAAGTAATTAAATGTGACAATTAAATACACAAACAAGCCAAATAAACTGCGACTAATAACACACCCAATCTTTAAAAATTGTCGATTTATGTAGTACCCGTTATGGGGCGTTGTGGGGATGTGAATACACTTCCCCGCACGTAACCGTACTCCCGAACCTAGAACAATCTAAAAGTGCAGACCAGAATTCTGGTTTTAACAAAAAATTAAAACCGGAAAAGGGTGTTCGACCCATCCCAAAACACGGTCGATGGCGACTCCGAGCGTGTCGCGTCGTATCCCTCAATTTCGGAGGGGCGGTTGCGACAGATAGCATGATGGTCGAGTGGGCCTTCTTCTCCAGAGTATTCCACTCATCGTCATCGACCGTTGCCTTCTTCTGTTTCGCAAACATCGCCCCCTCATAGCTCTTACTGTTTTAATAAAGTCTGCATCTTGATCTGCCATATAGCGAAGCTGTTCTTCCCCGTGAACTTTTCAATCTTCATGTTCACCGACATCATTCTTCTGAATCGAAAACCCTAGCCTGATTTCAAGCCGCGGCTCTGATACCACTTGTTAAAAACGCGCTGCTACGGATCTGGAAATCGCCGGAATCGATAAAGCAATAATACGAAAGCGAGAATCGAAAACACGGACACACGATTTACGTGGTTCACTAACACGATGTGTGTTAGCTAGTCCACGGGCGAGAGAGAGCGAGACCCCCAACTAATCCAGTCGTAGCAGGCTGATAGTCCGTTTCAATTCACATCAACACCTACCCACCAAAATCCACCAGTCCCCTCGCCTTCCTACCCCTCTCTTCCTCCACCGTCACTAAAAACACCAGAACCCCGTCGCTATTTCCCTCCGCTAAATCCCCACCAAACAACAGGAGATCAAAACTGTATTCACCATTTGTGACGAAAGCCACGGTGGCGCCGGGGACCTCGTCGGCGGAGAAGAAGAAGAAGAAGAAGAAGCCGGCGCTGGACGAGAAGGTGCAGAAGATCCATAGCGCGACGGATTTCAACGACGCGCTGAAGGCGGCCAAGGACAAGCTGGTGGTGGTGGAGTGGGCCGCCAGTAAGAACGAGGAGAGCAAGAGATTTACCCGTTCTTGGTGGAGCTCAGCCGGACGTGCTATGACATCGTCTTCCTCTTGGTGCTAGAGGACGAGTCCAAGAAGAAGCGGGAGATCTTTGTGAGGGAGAAGATCGAGGAGTTGCCTCACTTCAGCTTCTACAAGGGCTTGGAAACATGCTTAATTATAAGCTTTATATTGTTAAACATAAGTAAAAATTTCCACTCTAGATAGTTGTCATGCTTAATTATAAGCTTTATATTGTTAAACATAAGTAAAAATTTTCACTCTAGATAGTTGTCATGTCAGTGCCTCGGTGGCCAAAGAATAAATTTTTTTCTTCAATTGAAAGTTACATTTCGATATTATTTGTTAGATTGTATTCTAAGCATGAAAATTTAAATGCAAGATTTTTTTCATTTATTTTTTAATGTTGTATTTTATTTAAATATGAATTTAGCTTTTTAAGAGATTATTTTCAAATATGTTATATATAGTTAAAGTCATCTAATGTTAATGATTTCCTATTTCTTACATGGTTTGCTAAAATTATCATGAAATATAATAGATTAGCTCCATCACGGGTCAGACTAGGAAAACTGACATAACGACGTATAAACTTGTTTGACAATCTTGCTCCAGATACACGAGGAGGAAGAGATCGGGCCAGACCAGCTGATGGGAGACGTGCTATACTACGGCGACAACCACGACACGGTGGCGAAGCTGCACTGCCGCGAGGACGTGGAGAAGCTAATCGCCGACCATAAAGAGGACCACAAGCTCATCGTGTTGGACGTCGGGCTCAAGCACTACGATCCCTGCGTCAAGGTCTACCCGGCGGTGCTGAAGCTGTCGCGGTCGATGGCAGACACTGCGACGTTCGCGAGGATGAACGACGACGAGAATGACAGTTGCATGGCGTTCCTCAAGGACATGGACGTGATCGAGGTGCCGACGTTTCTGTTTATACGGGATGGCGAGATCAAAGGGAGGTACGTCAGGTCAGGGAAGGGGGAGCTGATTGGGGAGATTTTGAGATACCAAGGGGTTTGTGTGACGTATTAGTTGAAAGTGAAGTGTCAACCAGTTGGTTCCAATAACTCGAGTTGTTAGGAGAATGTTATGTTGGATCTTATAAAGGCCCATGTATGGTACTTAACCATTTTCTTACACGCCGCCTCAAACGAAAGCCGACTTATGAGCTTGAAGTTTGCACAAGCCCGCCATATCATGTGCTTGAAAGACAACAGTTAATATTGGGGGTCATGAGGACTTGAACACGTGACCTCAAGTACAAACCAACTCTGATACCATGAAGAATTTGATGATGCGGAAGGAAACGAACACAAAAGACAAGGGATTTTACGTGGTATCCTCGATAGATTGATTGATAGAGACTAATCCACGGTGAGCTCGGAACGAGCTCACGACTGATATTTTATTAGAGACTACATTGTGATGGCTTGCTTACGACAGGTTCGTAGCTAAACCTTATATAGAGATAGACGTAGGGTTAAAACCCTAATGACAACCAATTTTCCTTCTTTTACATGGACAATGCAACAAGGGACTTGGAGGATAATAAATTAATTATTTTTTACTAAATAATTAATATCCTCAACATGAAGTGTGTTGATTTGTAGTTAGTTTGTGTCACAATTGAGAGGGAATTGTGAAGAGAAATGTTTGTTATACATGGTGATTATGGAATTTGGTGGTGGATTTTCGTATGAGAATATCATCATTATATCAAACATTAAACTTAATAATTAGTTTTCCCTATTATTATTATTATTATTAGGGTAATAGGGTGCGCCTAATGATGCCTTGCAAGTAAGCTGCCTTCTAGCACAAGCAAGCTGTCAGAAAAATAGCTTTCGTAGCAATTTCGAGCCTTTTGTTTGAAGCCTTCAGATATTCAATATTTCATCCAATGCCTTGCCTTTATAGACAAACATACCTACTTTCACGTGGTAGAGGCCCCTGGACTCGACTCTCATCCATGCGTCTCGAATTGAGCTCCAAAGTAGACTTCACAAACACATTCTCAGACTTGGCCATTTTCAGACAGTTCCCCAGTTTTGGCATAGCCTTTGGATCAGGTTCAAAAATTTTCTTCTGGACTTCCTATCGAGCTCCTAAGTACTTCAATGTGTAGATGGACACTTCAGCTTCAAAACAAGCCATTAATCTCCAATTTCCATCGAGCCAATTGTAAGATATGAATCTCCAAAGTTTGTACCATCAAACTATTTTTACACTGAAACAACAGATTAGGTCGACCTAATCCTAACTGAGGTCAACAGAAAAGTTGACATTACGATGAATTGCAAGTCACCATAGCAAAGTTATTATTATTATTATTATCCGTGTTTGCAAATATTGGTTGTCCTTGCCGCCTACTAAATCCCAAGTTGACAAATGGTTACATTGATTTATCCAATATGACTACAGTACAATTTTACAATATGAGCTTTTGAGAATCTGAGTTCTTATAGGTGATTTTTGTATAAGGGTTTCCAGTTAAAGGTATGGTGCACGTTATTCATTTTGTCCTCAAAGTTAATTCTAGGCAAAATATACTTGTATAACTATAATTATACACTTAGGAACAATAATAGCAAAATTTTGAAAAAAAAAGGCAAAATACAGTTCCATAGCCAAAACTTTCACGTTTGTGCCAATAATAGCCACATTTGGCGAAATACCACTTATAGCCACCTCCGTCCAATTCTTTAACGCTGTTAACGTTAAGTGTGACTGGGCAAACGGAGCAGCTTACGTGGACCGCCAGTGATTTCCACGTGGCGAATAATTAAAAAAAAAAAAATACAAAACACGAAATAGCCTACCCACCGACCATTTGGTCGACTTTTCCATCTTACCTTATCTTCTTTCTCTGAAACCACCCACCCATCTTCCTTCGAAAGGCGACGAGCACGAAGCACCACGAAGACCATCTTCCTCCGACGCCCCACCTCCGACGCCCCCCCTCCGACGAACCCCTTATTCCTTCCGCCACCATCAATCTAGACCCTTCTCATCTCCAATCTCGATTTTCCTCGATAATCCGAAAGTGAACCTACCGCCTCCTTCCTCGAGAAACATAACAGAGAATGGGTTGACTAATCGACGCCGAGCTTTGGCCGAATCTTTCTAAGCTTCTTCTCTTCTGCATGCTTAGGAGGAAAGTGGGAATCGACCGATTGTACTCTGAAACCCTAATCTTCCCTCGAAGCCGATTTGTCCTCTCCCTCGTCAGTCGCAAGGCTTATTGCACCAACAGAGTACCACGCCTAGTCTCTGAGTGCTAGTCGAACTTGAGGAAGCTATTCGCCTGGACATGCCTGCAGCTCGCTTGAAGTGCTGGGCAGGAGAAATCGTGAAAGGAGAAGGAGAGGGTTGCGTCGCAATCGTCGTCGTTGCGAGTCGGAACAGAATCGATTGGAATCGGAATCGCGGAGGGGAGTGAGGATTCGATCAGAAGGGAGTAGAGGATTCGTGGAGAGTGGAATTTGGGGGAAGAACCCTAATTCCGAAATAGGAATCGATTAGTATAGGAATCGGGGAGAGTGGAAAGTTGAGGATTCGGGGAGAAGAGTCGAAATTTGAAGTTTGGGAGAGGAACCCTAATTTTTGTATCGGGCAAAAATAGGGGCTGAAGGATTGGTTTCGATGGAAATGGAATATATAGTCTGATTTTTTTTTTTAATAATGTAATATATAAGTTTTTATTTTTAATAAATGAATATATGACGTGTCAAGATGACGTGTCAAGACTTGCTTAGTTGGCGCTGACGTGGAAGTGTTCTTCTCGCCTAATCAGCAAACCGTCTGCTTATTTGACGGTGTTAGTAACGCCGTCAATGTTTCTAACGGAAAAGGCTATATTTGTCCAACAACATTTTCAAAAGGTGGCTATAAGTGGTATTTTGCCGAATGTGGCTATTATTGGCACAAACGTGAAAGTTTTGGCTATGGAACTGTATTTTGCCAAAAAAAAATACATAGATATATAAACTCTTTTGAACCTAGTTTGACAACTTTAACTGTAGTCAGGGACGCCGTGCGACACGTTGTTACCAAGTCCCCATCGTCGACTCCTCATGTTCCCGTTTCCGACTTCTCTCTACCCATAGTTGATGCCTCTCTGCTAGCTTCGACGACTCTCTCTCAGTCCACAAATCGTGTTCTCAGAGTCCACATCTCCCAGTTGACTCATATCACAGAGGGATGTTTGTAGGAACGTGGATAACTATGGCACCAATTCGAGTTCGACGAGCATCAAAAGTGGAGGTTATACCCTTTGAAAGCACAACCATTACACCATTCCAACACAACCTTAGGTGATTAGTAATCACTAGACACCACAACCCAAAGAGATGAAAATCTCAACACTCGATAGTGGGATTAGGGTTCGCCGGGTTCAGATCGATATTCAGGGTTAGTCGGGTTCGATCATGCCATCTTCGCCAGGTTTGACTGTGGATTAGAGTTTGCCGGGTTCGCCGACCTAGTCTGAAATGGGCAAGGGGGTGCAACAATTGAGGTGTATATTCGCCATCCGGATGATGCATGGCTTCCTTTGTCGAAGTTTGAACGGAGTTGGAGAGTGGATCGTTGGGATGAGCTGTACTGGATTGGGGTGTGGATCAGCGGATGAGTGTGTTCGTCAAACGAGAGTTAAACTCCTAAATTGGGTAAAAGTCTATCAAAATGGTAAAGTAACGATCGATAAATTGGTAAAGTTTCTTTTGATCTAACTTTTTAATTAATGAAATTAGAAACATAGTCCACTTGACATGCCACATTGACGACAATAGACACATCACAAATAACCATTTATCCAGTTAGCTGTCGTGATAATATCGTTAATTTTGTAAACGAAATGACTATATTTTTATGGTTTTCAAATTTTGGCTATGATTATCACAATTTGAATATTAATTGCTATGCTGGTGTATTTTCCTCTTAATTCTACTTTAGAATTGAGACACCACAAAATCAACTAAACACCAATAAACTGACAAGGAAAGGCTACTTGGACAATGTATTGAAAAGTCCATTGGTCTTGTGTAACGTGAAATTGCATAGTTGAGTCGCTAAGGGCCCATCCAATTAAGAAGTTGGGTTCTCCAGGCCTACAAAGCTCTCGTCTTCCCGAGATATTTCCAGAGGCCACACGCCACTTCTAATCAACTTCAGTGTGCATCAAGTTTTCTAATCAAAACCAATAATATTTACCATTAGTATCTTATAAAAAAATTTCTCTAATTTAATTTTATCCAAAACATAAATCGATATGCACCTAGATTACTACCGTTTTTCAGAAATCATACTGTACCGGCCAATGGTATAAAAAATATTGCACACCGAATCGCAAACCAAAAAAAAATTTTAATTTTATAAAACAGTTAAATTACAACTAAATCATAATTTAGTATAAAATATCGTACCACTAACTTTTTTGTTATAATTTCCACTAGAGTTTCACGACTTTGCTATATATTGATAACAAAAATAGATATGTAATTATGTATGGTAGGATTAAGATACTAACATCAACCACCGACAGCCGTCGGTGTGCGAGCGGAGTAAATATTACTGCCGATGGTTGGTTGCATTTTGCATACGTAGGGACATGGCCAAATACTGTATATTGTCGTCCGTGTCAATTCAATTGTAGTGGCCAGGCCACACACACATCACATAGCTAACCTCATTCTACTGTCCTTTTGTGTGCTTGGCCCTTAGAAAAATGGGGAACAAGTCAGAAGCTGCGCCCAAGGATTCGAAAACCTAACAACGATAGAGCAAATCTTAATGTGGTTGGTGGGTGCCAAGTTAGTCAACTCGATTTAGATAGTTGGCCTGATCGAACAAGCGAGTTAAGAGTTAATTGTCTGATGATAGTTTTAATTTGGTTTAATCCACATATATGTGACGTCATTATATTGTCTATATATTTATAAATTATTATCGAATCTCATATAACATATGGGTAATAACATATAAAAATACCAAAATAACAATTCGTATTTGGATCCAACATATAGCAAAAATTCAAATACACTCATAACATTAATATTAAAATGTTCAATTTAGAATTCCAAAGATAGGATTAGATGAAGGGGGAACCGAAAAGAGACACATTTCACAAATCAAAAGAAGAAGAAAACTATGCAGTACCGACCTCCAATTCGGGAACCTTGATGCGGATCGACCCGCTGAAGTGTGATGCCCATTTTTCTCACCGGGTAGACTCGTGAATTGACAACTTTGATGGGTGCGTACGTAAAAGAGACGATTACTGGTAATAATTGTACAATTACGGGTCATTTTTCATCTCATGACCATGACGAATAATATTTTTACACTTCAATGGAAGGCTTTAGATTTTTTGGAAAAAATTATATGATACGGTCTATAATGACTATTCCTGAATTTCCTCTAAATTTTCTAATCTTGACTGGCAATATCCTGTTAATTAACAACCAAGTTGGGGGTGCAACTACTCTGGGAAATCAACTTGCACTTGCCAAAATCTGTGTCTCACTCCCTATTTAATTAGCTTGGAAGGCTAAATGGCTAATCCAAGATCAACACCTCCACCTAATTATTGGGAATATTACTTGGTCACATCAATGACATTTTCCAACGCAATAAAACATAAAGAAACTATGTAGATTGCAGCTTTCAAGACATTGTAGCTAGTCACTTCTCAAATTTAATTCCTTTTAGCGACTTCTTGGATCAATCGCTCAATATTCGAAAGCAACCAAATCCAAATTGCAAAAACCCAATCTCCCTAGAGATTACATTTACAAAGAAGCCAGCTAATCGGTCTACTTTTTCAATTAAATTTATCAACACTTCATAGTTGGTTGTATTACTAGTCTTGTCTCACATCAAATGGCACTTGCTAAAATCTCTCTAAATTGAATTGGATGATCCCACCAATCGCGTATTTGCGATGCATTTTATTATTGGAATCACAAAGTGTGAATAAGCATTTTCTTTTTTTATAAGATCTACAACTATAAGTCTATAACTATTTCACAATGAACGACAACGTACTCTTTGTGGAGTATGCAATACCCCTAGTAATCTCATTATTAGATATCTTTCAACGAATTAAAATAGTTGAATATTGTATTTTGTCAAATTGATGTTAGTATTTGGGTTTAGACAATTAGGACCTGATACTTGTATTAACTTGATGCGGCCAACTGGGATTGTGGAGTGGGTTCGGACGTCGAGGTGAATTCTTGGCACAACCCGGTTCCGAGCTCCTTCATTAGAAGTGAACTCTTAAGAAAGGAAATTTGGAACTATAGTCCATTCGCAATCCACCGCCCCGGTCAATAGTATGATATAAAGCAGATAAAAAGAGGACCTTGGATGATCGAAAAATAAATGTTATTACTTATTAGAGAGAATGTGATCTTTGATTCCTTCCTCGAGGCCTTAAATGTTTTATTTATAGCTTCTCCAATCTTCATTAGTGATTGAGTATCAAATGTGATATGACCGTTGTTTTAGACATTCTTGAATGATTGCGACAAGCGCCGATACCTGAACAACGAGATAGGAAGATGATCCTTACATTTTGATGGGCGGTAGTTCTTGTATGCAACAATACTCAACTTTTCATATAAAAAGGCAAGAGGATATTAAAAATTTACAATGCAGACAATACCAAATGCTTGTTACCCCAACAATGTCATACTTCAAATGGATAATATTTGGTGGAATATGGCATATCTTAACCCCTTTGATTGCTGCATCCATTTTCTTGCTCTATAATAATTTATAAAAAGATCTACAATTCCATGAGTTTGGGCTTCTGTTGCGGACATAAAAACATCCATTTCCATGTCTTCGGATCAATTGATAATAAAGATATCTTCTCTTATTAATGATTGTTGATTACTGCATCATCAATAGTGTTGGACTAAACTAACAATGTGAGATTACCAATTTGATTTTTTTTTAAGCAAAACAAATCCAAATGCAAAAATACGAACTCCAAGTCCTAGAGATTTACATATTTACAAAGACGATAGTTGTGACTTAATTATTAAAATTTGACTAATCAACAGTTTATCGATGGTTACATTACACGTCGCTTTTGTTTTACGTTTTCATCCAAAAAATTGTTTAAAAAAATCAATTAATCAATGAAAAGAACCCGACCCGACCACTTGGAGCGGGCGGGGCGGCTCCATGGTCCGCCTCTTCCACAGGTTCACTTCTTTCCGGGGCCTCAGCCTCAATCCTTCCACGTCAGCAGCCGTACCGATCCGAATCGGCGCCGAGAAGGGAATCATCGCATCCTTCGCCCCCACCTCATCGTCGCTGTACCCGCCATCGTCACCATCGGAGTCATACCCCCGGCTAAACTGATCATGATCTGGCACAATCCGAGCCGTCCAATCAAAATCCCCCAACCCGTCCCGGTGCCCGCTCGCAAACCGCCTCATCTGGCTCAAACCGGGCGCCCGGTCCGGCAGCGGCTGCCCCGATCCCATCCCCGTCGTCGGCCTTTCCCCGCCCTCTTCGTCGGAGACAAATAAATTGTCGGCGGCGGAAGTACTGTTGGATCTCCTCTTCCTCCCCGGAGCCGACGACGGCCCCAATTTGAACGACGCGGACCCAAATATCTTCCAGATCCCGGGCGACCCGGCTTGCGGCTTCGGGTTTTTCTGCTCCGACGACTTCTTGCTCTGTTTCTTCTCTTTCGCCGCCGGCTTGGGAAGAACCGCGGCCTTCTTGCTACCGCACTTCTTGTGCTTGATTTGCCCGATGCAGGAGATCTTCGGCGACGTCGGCTCCTCGGCCGCCTCGCCGGACTTGAATTGCCCGCGGACTTGTCGGGGAACCTTCGGCAGGAAAATCGGGCCGGAGAATCCTCTGTAATTCCCCTGGTAATTCGGTACTTTATTGTGGTCGGAGAAGGGCTGCTGCTGCTGCTTATTGTTGTTATGGGTATTGTGGTTCGGGTCTCGGGTCGGGCTGAAAGTTGGGTTGTTGAAGTTGATCGAGGAAGCTACTTTGAGGAACTTCAGTACGTTGTGATGGTTGTTGTTGTTGTTGTTCTTCGGCTTACTCTGTTTCTCCATTGTTGGGCTGTAATTCTGAAGAGAAAGAGAGGAGAAGAGTGGATTGCTTTTGGGATTGAAATTGGGTTATCTTTATGGAATCGGATTTGCTTGATAGATGTTTATATATGGCTTTGAATTCTTGTATTGAATATATGGGTGCCTTGATTTGTGTCGAGACCGTGTAAAGAATATATAGAGATGGTCAAAGGAGGTGAGGATTGAGAAAATTGATTTTCAAATTATTATTTAATTCCCCACGTTATGTTGCGGGCCGGCTAAACAAGATTTTGTATATTTTCTAGGGCAAACTTACCATCCTCTATCTGAGTAGGGATTTTGTTACCAACTTACCATCAAGTATGCGGATGTGAATAAGTAAAGAAATCGTGTAGTTCGATTCGCATTTTAAATTCGAGATTTGAAATGAAGATGCTTGAATTTGATTAAGGAAAGAGATCATGTTGACAAATAAATATTGAGTTGGGAGATTTGAAGAAATTATAGGTTGACTAATGTTTTATTGAATCTATCCAATTTGATAGTTTTTTTTACGCGTCATAATTGATATATAATTTGACACGAATCTACATGAATTCTTCAGAGTGAAGATAATTAATAATAATTTAAGACCAAAATAATAAAATTTCTCGCATCTTAGATTGAAACTTTGCGCACACGACAACCATAGAGAAAGAGATGACTCCCTTCTATAAACATTGACCAACATAAATTCAGCCATCCTGAATATGTTTGGAAGCTTAACCATAATTGTTCTTGTTGTTAACATTGACCAACATTAATCCTCCACTAATAGTGGATTTGTCCAAGCATAAATATAACTACATTTGCGAAACCATAATATTTCTTTTATCGAAATCTGTTAGTAATAAGCCTATAAAAACAACATTAAATCTGCATAAGTGATAAGTTATAATATAGCCATCGAAAATGTTCTTCGTTCTACATTTCCACGACCCTTGCTAATTCATACACTAGTTGGTTAATTTAATGGTATTTCTATTTTCCCCTCTGAAAATTCATAATTATGCAGCTGAAAACGGAAGGTATTAATGTGAGGAAACCTACCAATGGCTCAGTTTGTCAAATACATCTATTTATTATTATTATTTTTGGATGGTTCCAAGAACGTACCAACCAACCAAGCAATAGTGTAACAGCCAGCCGGCAACGTAAATATTTACAATATATTTAATTATTTATAAAGACTCTCTCCTACCATGCAATTTGTTTTCTTATTTAATTGTTCATTGTGGAGGTTGATTTTGTATGCATGTGACTATGTGAGACTCATTACAAAAGTTGAGAGGATCGAAATTAAACAATCAAACTCGTGTTAAACAATTACATGCAAAGATGAGTAGTTAAGATAATTTATATTTGTGGTTTTGAAATTTTATTGACAAAGGAAAGCTGGAGTGTTGATATTGTGCGTCAGTATTGTATGACGAACGGTCTCGACAGTTAGTTTTTGAATTTTGTTTTGTTGACTTGGTACAATCTGAGGGTGTTGATGATAGCTGCTAGTTTCAACTCTCAACTGGTTTACTAGAACAGTTGCTACATAATAATTAGTTAAGATAATTCATATATGTGATTTTGAAGAAAAAAATTGACAAAGGGAAGTTTGAGTGTTGACACTGTGTGTCGGTATTTCATGACGAGCGGTCTCGACAGTTAATTCTTGGTCTCGATTTATTGATTTGGTAAATTCGAGGGTGTTGATAGTTGCTGGTCTCGACCGGTTCACTAGAATAGCTGGAGCAACTACAACTCCTACTATCCCTAAAAACTTACGTGGGTTGTTGGCTAGGCTCGAATTAAACCGCCGGACTTATCTATTTTTATCAGTAGATCATGCCTCCATAATTTTTGTTATTTAATACTTTCATTTATCGCCGATTTCTCTGATCGATCTTAACGACATTTCTACAAAGTTGTCATTTCTTATATCAATAGGGAATACAATCACGTAACAGTTTATTGAGCTATTTAAGAATAGGGTTATAGGTATAATATGCCCCTCTACTATGATGTTCTATCAAACATGCCCCTCTACTATTTTTTACATCAAACATGCCCCTGTACTTTCAAAAAATTATCAAACATGTTCTTCTGTTAAAATTTTGATTGAAAAAATCGTCAATCATGGTTGAACCGATATTTAGACGACCCGACATCGACAAATGGGAGGGAAAATGATAGTTTTGTCCCCCGTTTTATTCCTCTAAGTATCTTCAAAGTGAAATTATTTGAGTTATTTGGCTATACAGAAGAACCAAAATAAATTCTAAAGTGAAATTATTAGGGATATTTTAGACATTTGTGTCGCCCAAACCAAAGTTCGGCATTGGTTAATGGTTTTTGGATGCAAATTTTAACAAAAGGGCATGTTTGATCATTTTTACAAAGTACAGGAGCATGTTTGATGTAAAAAATAGTAGAGGAGCATGTTTGATAAAACGTCATAGTAGAAGGACATATTATACCTATAACCCTTAAGAATACTAGCCAAATGCTAGTAATTGTAATGACTCAAATCTTAGATACTAGTTAAACTATTGAACCCTGAATTATTATGATAATTAGTATTTTTGGGCCGACTTTCACGTCTTATTTCTTTAAAGAACATACGGCCACCTACTCTTTTCAAATTCCCGTAGTGCGATGGCAGATTGGGGAAGGGTCTCAGGTTAGCATTTTGGAGGATAACTGGATCCCGGGTTTTAGACCAGAGGCGATTGAGTTACAGGCCTCGGCGCCAGATCTGACAGGAGTGAAGGTCAATACATTGCTCATCCCGGGTAAGGGGGAGTGGTGTTTGGATTGTCTGAATCAATGCTTTACTCGGCAGGTGGTACAGGCTATTCAGGCCATCCCGTTGCCAAAGGGTGAGGTGGTGGATTGCCAAGTCTGGGCAGGTGAGGGGGACGGGGAGTATACGGTGAAATCAGGATATCATTTGGCTTTTCAGAATGCTAGCAGGTCTCAGGAGCGGAAGGCTGAGGTTTCTTTTTTTGATATGGCTTGTTGGAAAAAGTTGTGGGGGTTACCCATTCCTCCGAAATTGAAGAGTTTTCTTTGGCAATGCATGAAGCGTATCCTTCCTACTATGGAAACTATAATTGAGAGGACAGGTAGAAATCTGGGAGAGGTCGAGCTTGATCCTGGGGCTGAGGGGCAGGAAGCTGCAATTGACCCTAAGTGTCCGGTGTGTTGGGAGCCTTTAGAGACACTAGAGCATATGTTTCTTTCCTGTCGGCTGGCTTTGGGGTTATGGGAGAGGTCGGGATTGGGGATAGGCCTGGTGATGCAGCCTTCTTTGAACTTTGCTTTGTTTCTTCGCAGATTCTTTGAACAGGAGAACACTGTAGAGAGGATAATTCGATTTGTGGCATTGCTATGGAGGATTTGGAAAAGTAGGAACTGGGTGGTGTTTGATCAGGTCCAGTATGGGGTTAGTACTTTGGTGAGGCAGTTTGAGGAGCAAGTTCGGGAGTGGTTGGCGGTGATTGAGTCTGGAGATAGCAGGCAGGTTCAAATGCAGCAAGTGCGGGGTCTGGTTGGTGTGGAGGGTGGTTCACAACCTGGTACGGCGTACTGCTGTTATGTGGACGGGGCTGTTCTCGCTGGATCTCATGGGGCTGGGGGATTGGTAGTGTATGATGGGTGGGGTAGGGTGTGTTTTGTTCAAGGTTTTCGTTATGCAGGTTTGGTGGACCCTTTTCTGGTTGAGTTGGTGGCTTTTCGTGATGCAATTCAGTGGTGCTCTTTGAAGGGTCTAGTTGAAGTGCAGTTCTACGGGGATGCGAAGACAGTCATTGACAAAGTTCGGACTAGGGATAATCGGGATGTGAAAGGTGGACGGATTCTTGAAGAAATTCAAAAGTTAGGACAGCTCTATCTGCGTTCTGAAGTGGCTTTTATTGGCAGGAGTAGCAATTGGGTGGCCCACGAGGTGGCTAGGAAGACCCTTTCTTTGTTGCCTGCAGTTGTAGACACTTTCGATTTTTTTCGTTGGTTTGCTCTTGAGATGTAAACTTTTCTAGCTGTTTGCCTTGGTAATACAAGTGATCTATTGGTAAAAAAAAAAAAAAACCTACTCTTTTCAAATGAATAGGATTCATCGTGGTCGAGATAGTAGGTAATTTTATTTTGTTGATTGCAAAAGGCAGCCTTGATTTATACTAAAAAGTAAAAAAGTCATATATGTACAATACAAACGTTGTCATAATTGGGGGCTTCCTATCAAAATAATAATAATAATAATAATAATAATAATAATAATAATAATAATAATAATAATAATAATAATAGGGGGCCTTTTCTTCTTCTCCTTTAGTCCTTTTGTGGCGTAGAATTTAGTGTTCTTGGCCTTGAGCCGTCAATGACTCTCCAGCTGGTTATGTAAAACAAAAGATACATTTTGTATATGGCACACATAAAAGACAAACATATGTTCTTTAATTGACTAAAGGGGATTTTGGCGCACACTCTCTATTTTAATAACTCGTTTGATTGTTAAACATCTATATGAAGCAAGAGCACGGGGAATGACGATGGGCAGTTACGGGCGGGTTTTTTAGTACTCAGAACCGCCTTGTGACAGGTCGGGTAATTTATCACGGGTCGCGGGTTGGTGTAGGTCGATCCAATGAGTATGCAATTTATATGAAAAATATTAGAAATATTCGTTATTTTATTATAAGACAAAGAAAACAAACAACATTATGATCAATATAGTTAAATTATTAGAGAAATTGAGATTTTCACTAATTTACAACTTTATTATAGCTAAAATATGATGTAATAAAAGAAAATTTCTTAGTAATTTGACTAAGATTACATGTAATGTAGGCAAGAACAGGTCGAGAATGAGGAGGATCAGGGCAGGTCGGGTCGATGAGAGTATCCATGCCAGCTTCGCCCCAAAACAGGCCAAACAAGTCGTGTAAAACGGATCAGGTCGAAATTGTCATCACTAAAGAGCACACCTTTTT